GCTCTGTTCAGTAACAAAACACATTATGTGTTACTTGTTTAATCTGAATAAAAAACAAACTGTAGATTTGACAAGTTGTGTGAGACTATTTCTTGGCTGGAAGTAAAGACCTTTTAGAATGTGTTGTCATCTCACAGAGGTCACCGGGAACCCAGCGATCACTCCAGGAAGTCACTGCTCCAGCCAATAACTAGTATTAATACCCCCAGTGTTATTTATCCTTTGATTTATCTTTACCATGACGTCACTGTATTCTGAAGCTTTGACGCGCGTTTATGATCGCTCATAAACTATCATAATAATCATTATATACAAATCAACGCTGCACCATGAGCCATGTTTACATTACTATAATACGATACCATGGTAAAATGCACTCGGCTGTATAATGTGTCCAGTCACTGTGTGTCTTTCTCAACATACAAATGATACGCTGACAAATTCTGTTTTTCACACACAGACTGAATCAGCCCCCCCACCCCCCCTCACGCTCACACTCGTTTCTCATGTCTCGGAGAATGATATTCAGTTTACTGAGATATCTCTGCTACACAGGCGCCATCGTCAGAGTGGACTTATTGCAATAGCTGTATCACGCCCTCGCCCACCCTCCAAACACATCCATCCGCCACCACAATCACACTTTAGTGTGAAGCAACAGCTGACGCCTGATAGATACCGCTAGCAGGAGCTGGTTATTGTGGAGTGTAGCCATGAGATAGAGGTCACTGTTTGCCACTGGGTTGAGAGATGGAGGGAAAGGAAATGTACCGACACTAAATTACATGCTGGATACACATATTCCATCAGAGGCCTCTACATGAGATGGATGTTATATATCACCACTGCGCCGTTTTAACCTTTCGACCCACATAAATGAAATTCATTAAAGCACACCATTCAGCAAACGGAAATTACACACCATCTAGATCATGTTCTATCAGTGCCGTCTTATTTGATGTAGTGTGTTTACACATAGTACACTGATGTTGCATATTACAAATTGAAGGTCTTCTTACAGTACATTAAACCCACACATTTTCCATCAGCGGCGTGGAAATATCTCATGCTGAACCCTCACTGCCCATTATCTCAATCCCTCATTTATCAGAGGCTTCTGTTTAGCTACCAGTGATATTTTGTAAAGATCACACACATACTCCGGTATTCGCATGAGCAGACGCCTTTTAATGTGGTCGGAGAGCCAGAAAAGAAATTCACCTATTAATGCTTCCTATTTATGTGGAGGTGTCTCTACCTTTTTTAGGATTTATTTAAAAAAAAAAAAAAAGAAAAGAAGAGGCTTGAAGGTGAGGTCAGTCACAGGGCGGGCTGCCAAGTAATAACTTCTCTAATCACTTATTCCTCATGCCCATATTGCTATATAATAAAAAAAAAACTTTTACGAGAGAGAAAGAGAGCAAGTCACCCTTATTTGGAGACAGCTGTTATCACCACCTCGTTAACGCCGCAACTCGATCACAGCAATTTAGAAGTTGACGCATGCTCTCGACCCTCCATTTCCTCCTTTTGTCCGTCTCGCTGTTTCTCGCTGTCCCTTCGCACACAAATAAAAGCAAATTGCTCGTCTTTGACGTAACCTGGCTGTTTTTTAACTCATGAAAGACGTCGCACAAATGTCTTTGAGGTCTGCGGCTCCCACTGGTAATCAAGCTGGCACGGTGATTAGGTGAAAATGAATCGCGGGCCTCTGTCGCGCATGGCTGACAGCCCGGGAGCCAGATAGGTGTTCTCTTCCCAGGTGACTTCGACAGATCAGGCAGAGAGAGTGAAAGACATCAAAGCAGAGAAAAAAAATAGAAAGAAACTTGCATTAGATTAATACCCGCGAGATAGCTAAAAAGAGGTGTGTGTGTGTGAGTCCGTACAAGAATGTTGGTGTCTGAGTGGATTGGGTGTGGGTAGGTGGAGTGAGGTAATGTGTGTGAGTTTAGTGTCTGGTTTTTTTTTTTGGCAGGGGGGGGGGGGGCATGAAAGGAAGGAGCTATGGTTTGAAGTGATAATGAAGCACCTTCTTTAATCCTCATCCTCTCTTTTATCCGATCCACTCACTTGTGCCCATTTGTCCAACAAATGTTTTGGTAGGCCTATAAAGCAGAAATCTCCATTCTGCTTTTCAAACAGGAATATCATCCGCAGGTTTTGTTCCACTCTTTCTCACCGGAGTGGATTAAAAGATTGGAGATTCTGAATTTTACCTTTTTTCCTGCTTTTCTTCTGAGAGCCCCTCAGACACGCAATGTGTCTGGCGTTTGCACATTGGTGTGTCATGTTGCCCGCGGCCCCTGCGTCTTAATATCAAAGAAAACCCAGAGCTTTTAGACCTGTCATGCTTGGTGGGAGTGAGCAGGAGTGACGCTAAGGTTAGCTCGCTGGAGCGTTTAGATGTACATGGGCAGATTTACTGGCCTGTGAACCCATAAACCTGCAATTACAAACCCTAACAACTCTGGCGCAGGCGGCCTGTACACCGCAGTTTTCCTCTAGGCTCGAGGATTTAAGCTTCACAATCAGTCAAGCGTAACTTCAGAAGCTAATTGCAGAAGAGTGACACACACACACACACACACACTCACACAACATCCTTACGGGGGTAAAACTGATGTCGGAGGTGGAATTTTGTTTGAAATTCATCAAATTTTAATCCAGCGCGTACATTTCCATATTTCCATATTTATTTCTTTATGCTCCTAGCATCCACTTCTTCTCTGCATATCATTTCGGCCCTATTAATAGCTCAAACCGCTGCAAACATACAGAAACACACACAACCACTCTTTTCGCCACAAGAAAAGAAAAGTTAGACAACATCCTATCAGGTCCGGTGCTCAAAGACACGGGCAGATAGGGCTGTCATTGAATCACTCCATTCCTGCCACAGTTGGTAAATTGACTGTTTGAAACAGATGAGGGGGGAACTGGGAAGAGTCAGAGATAAGATGTAGCATTCACACTCTCCTCCTCTCTATAATGAATCAGTGTATTTACTTAGCAATCTGCTTCTCTAAAATGGCACCGCAATCGCTTCGTCTTCTCCGGAGCGTTGTCACCCTCTCCCGTGTTCCTCTCATACCCCCCCCCCCCCCCTCCCCAAAGGTAATTGCTCTTACCTGAGACACTGTAATGGATCCTGGATGAAGTATTGACCGCTGCTAGATTTTGATTAAGGGGCTGTAGGGCAGAACATGTCTTTAATGAAACTGAGGAATCAGCATTCTGAGGCTGGAGGCTGTGCAGTGTGGAACAGAGGCACCTTGATTAGGACCTGATCCTCAGCAAATCCAGAGGTGGGCCACAGCTACTGAATTAAAAGCGATGAATCCATCCATTAATAATACCTAAGGCGTGTGGAGTTTTTCTCTGGAGGCTTATAAGTGTTAAAGATTTGGGTATTCATTTAAGCGGTTTGCACTCGCGCTCACACATTTGCATACCGGCTCTCTCAATCACTCAGTCGTCCACCGTGTTGCTCACTCACTGACTCTCTCATTAATACAATCGCTTTCCCCTTCATATGCAAAAGGTCAGCCTTTATCATTTGGAATTTGAGCATGAGGGATAACTTGCATTAGCTTCTCTCATCCTCTCCCTTAAATTGCCTTTTTGCTTGTGTTAAAAACTGATTGCATCTATGACGGAGATGAAAGGGTAACAGCTAGCTCCACACGTTTCTTTGAGCGTGCAAATGGACAGAATCTAAAAGGGGAGTATTAGCATGCTAAAAGACACCACAGCCATGATGAACACTATTTGCCAAGGCTTAATGTGATAGCCGGGTAAGATGATTAACTTTGAATCCATTTAATCAACCACAGGCGCTTTCTCAAATAAGCAACTGTCGAGCGTCGGGGTAAAACTTCCCTCAGATCTGTTGGGAAATGAGTAGAGTAACAGATGTGTCAGTGCCTGAATCAGAGAGGAGGCCAGCCAAACATTACTCTTTGAAGTGACGAACATCAAATATCATTTTCTGCACAGTATTTGTCATCCTCGCTCATGTTTGAAGCTCACGACGGGGCGAGACTTGGAACACGTAGCAGCTCGCTCATTGACTGGGAAGTCAATGTGCCCTTGGGCTGCATCCTATTGACTTAAGTAGTTCAAGTAGTGGGCTTCTCACCTCCCTTGACACATCGACTCCTGTGTGTACGCCGATAACTGGCTCTCATGATGCAATGAGAATTCTGACCTTTTCGGTCAGACCTTTAACCACAATCAACACGGGAGATTGTGTTAACGGATCAAGGGAGTAGGTTTGCAAATGGACGGTATGGACATGTCACTACCTATATTTTGGGAGGACAGAATTGTCCCAACCAATATTTGAGCAAACTTCTCATATAGCGTTTGCATTATCTTATGACTCATGCGCGCACAGAGAGTCCGAGGAGCAGAATCGCTTGTTGACCGGCGTGGAGAAATGCGCTTCTGGTGGGATCATCGGTTGTAGAGGTCACCGAGGTCCGGACCTCGGTAATTATTTCCTAAAAAAGCCCACCGTCTCCGGTTCAAACTGACAACTATCAATTAGACAGCTATCTGTGGTGGTGAGGTGACTAAAGAACGCACCACAGCGTCTCCATTGCGCTCTATGGCAGCACATCCATGGTCACAAAAATACTTGGTTATATTTGTACAGTTTTATAAGATATTATCTAAAACTATTGGCGCTCCGTTGTGACCCTGCTGACTACCAGTGTCCATTGCAGACTGTCCTGGCCCTCTCCTCTGAGCTCCAGAATGTAATGGTGAGACTAAACCGATGAAATATTGAGCAGAATTTGAGACACAAAAGAGGGGAGAAGAGAAAACAAATGCCGACGGATGTTTTGACTCGGCAAATATATGTTTATGCGTGAATCGTGGTCTGTGTCACAGATTGATCTGAGGAGTCTTCTACGCATTTGCAAATTGAACGAAGTCACAGAACTGTGTTTATTGATAGCTTCGTGCCATCCGTTTGTGTGCTCCTCTCACAGACCTTGATGACCCGGTGGTGACGGTGCACCAGAGTATAGGAGAAGCTAAGGAGCAGTTCTACTATGAGAGGACCGTGTTTCTGCGCTGCGTCGCCAATTCCAACCCGCCCGTCCGCTACAGCTGGCATCGTGGGAGGGAGGTCCTGACGCAGGGCTCGGACAAGGGAGTGGAGATCTACGAGCCGTTTTTCACTCAGGTAAGACAGAGGCAACATGATGTGGATGAAAGTGTCAAATCAGGCAGAATATTAGACAGAAAACAAGATGTGAAACCTGATTATAAAACTTAAGGGCTTCGGCTATCCCGAGTCTTTTAATGTGGCTATATGCACCTTATGCCGTCTGCATGCATACTACAAAGGGAGGATAAATAGGCTGATACAGAAGAAAATAGGATGCAACCATAATACGCTTTTGAAGGCATCGCAAAAGATGTGTTCATCAGGAGATAAATTTGCTGAAGCTGTTTCAGACAGCTCTCTCTCTCATACATTATTAAGAGATGCTCTCATGACCAGTGGCCCCCTCCTGTGTGTTACCAAAAAAAAAAAAAAAGGGGGAGAGAAATACAGCAAACATTTTTGCTACGAATAGATTGAAGCAGCAGAGCAGGTTTAGAATTTTGTTAACAAGATTCAATTCGTATGACACAATGCTCTCTCACAATGAGGGGCTGTTTGTATTCTCATGTTTGTTGGACTGATTTTTTATGTGTAAAAACTATTGTTTCTGGTTAATGTTTCAGTCTCAATAGATGAAGTGAGCGAAGCATTTTTTGCTGAAACAAGACAATGCGTTTACAGCACACTTTAGAACTCTAAATGATGAAACCCTGCATGTTCAGGAAACCAATTTTGCTAGCCACGGTATTTTTATTATCACTAGTGATACAGTATATTGAGGCGCATAAAGTTCAGGTACTCAAACAGACACTAAGTATGTAAATGATGCCCTTCATCAAACATCTTTTGAGAATAAGTAAGAAGTGCAACAATAGAACACACCCGATCCTGCATGTTCACAACAGAGATGAGTAAGCCGCAATAGCTAATTGTCAACAACACCACCCACATCTTGTTACAAAGGTGACATATTGCAACGTGAAATACTGTAATGATATTGCTGCTATTCATTTGCCTACAGGTATTGGGACTATGAGTTTGATTCAGCTTGTTTCACATCCTTTCCCTGAACCCTATCTCCACCCCTTGCTGTGAAAGCTAAGCCGTACTCATTAACCATATGAATAGCAGTATCACTTTCACGAACCCGGTTTCACAAAGTTTCATGCATGTTGAGTAATTGCTGACACAGAGAGATCGCGTTCTCTTCACAATCACTTCCCTCAATAGTTGGATTTTCTTCGCAATTTGGAAATTGCGAAACTTTTCTTCTCAAAGGATTCAAATGCTAACAATAAAAGAACTGATCGAGCTTACTCTGTCACTAGTAAGGGAATTGTAGTTTTTGAATTGATCGAGTTAAATGTGATTTGTATGTTGAACCGGGCAGCAGAGAGAATGAGAATCTGTAAGAAAGAGATAAAGACGTGCGAGAGAGGAAAAGAGGATTAAGAAACAGGGAGAGAGGAAAAGGGAAGTGAAATTGATGTTTGGCCAAATGGAGAAAGATGGCTGCGGACTAATGGAGTGGGTAAAGGAGGCTGAAGAAGCTGCGCAACTGGGCCTCATCAGACACTCTTCCCTTCTCCATCCTGCTCTCCATACCTCTTTGCTCCTTCATCCTGCCCTCTATTACAGTAAAGCTTTAATTGCTTCTGGAAATATGAGCGCAACCCAAACTCCAGAGATGAGCTTTGTGACGGTCCAACCCCAAATAAATCCTGACAAAACTCCTAGTAATTTGCTCATATAAATGGCTAATAGCATTATTTTTCACCAATATGTCTGAACTTGCCTGAAACACACTCCGACAATAGAGTTACAGATTCATAGCTGACCAAAGCTGAGCCTGCGGGGCCGATTTGGAGTCCAATAGAGTGCCGCCAGGCTTCCATTTTGACCTGGCAGATTTGTGAATTAAGTTCACCTGAATACCTTCCTCCCTCCATTATTCTTCATTCCAGCTTCATTCTCTTGCACCTTTTTCAGCCTACCAAATCTTGTTTTATATTCCCACTGATACTGTAGAAATGCAGAGGTGGCATTTTAAACCCTGTATGGAGAAAGGGCTCATAATTAGGTGAGGCCCAGAGCTCTGCTTTTATTGTAGAAAATCGTCTGTTCCTTTCTCCTCCATTTTCCTCACAAAGTGCCAGAGAATAGGACAATTATCCAACATATAATGGAGCCATTTCTCCTCCCTCATCAGATTCCCACTTCTTTATAGTAGTCGATATGTTTTGATGTTTACGATGGAGTTTGATGTTTTCTTGTGGTGTGATGTTCAGCTTGAGCATTATGTCTCTCAAGGAAGTAACCAGTTAGAAACATATTGCTCATCACCCAGCTCATCACATATTTATATCGCTCTTTTGTTCAGCTTCCTCACTCAATTTCTTGGCCCCTATCAAGCCAAGGTAGTAGTTTTCCTGCTGCTAGCCTGAAAAATGCCCTCATTTGCATCTTTATTGCCATGCATTTTAAGTTCATCAAGCTGGTTGTGACTCTATGTCCCCAAAGACGCCCATTTAATGCCTCAAATATGTAATTTAAAACATGAAAGCAAAACTGTGGATTTTCACCTTACAGTGACAATGCACTCCTCCATCATTTCTTTGCCCTTTTTTCAGCCATAAGTCCCGTTCCCGAAGCTCTTGTGTACTTTGTGTAGCGTTCAATCTTTCAGTCGATATGACTATCAAATCCCCCTCTCCAATTCGGTTTAATGTGTTTGTCCTTTCGCTTCCTTTCTCTGCCCCTTGCATTTTCCAAATAGATTTTCCTTCCAATTTGCCCCCCCCCCCTACTGAGAGTAAAGCTTTGCACTCTGAATACCACGGACCTCATCTCCTGATATCTGCTCCGAAGCAGAGGAGGTGACAGAGTAAGAAAGGAACAGCAGTGCGGGGTCCGTCGCTAATCTAACACAATTAATTTATCCATGAGCCTCATTGGATGTGGAAGACGTGAGGGACTGCCATGTTGTGTGGACTGCCGCAGCGTGCGGCTGACTCGTGTTTTAATCAGTCGCCGCCACCTCCGACCCAACACCCACACATTGGAGTCAGCCAGATCAAAAGGTTCACATCCTCATCACAGCCTCCTGGACGGAGCTCATGGTTGACAGGCCCAGCTGGAATCAAACACATATTATAAGTGAGCTAGCCGTTTCTATGGAGGGATCCCCTGCTGAGCCCATCCATATTACTGCAGCTGAATGGGGAAAATACTACAGGGCCATTGACTGGAGAGTAATCCACACGTTGGTATTAAGCAAGTTGACACATTAATTTCCTTTAAAACCAACGCCATCATATATTTAGCTGTAATCTGCAACCTTCCCCTTTCATTTTTTAAAACTGTATACATATTCATCTCTTTGACCTTTCTTTGGAGGCGTTTGGCCTTTGTCATCCCCGTCCCAGCGCCTAGTTTTCTGCATTTCTTTAACTTGATTATGTTGATATTTTTGCACACATTTGCATACCAGTGTTGGTTTGGTCTGAGCTGCAGGGGGAAACGAAGATTTTGAAGCTGAAGAACCTGCGTCCTCAGGACTACGCCAACTACAGCTGCGTCGCTTCTGTCAGAAATGTGTGTGGGATCCCTGACCGCAGTGTTATCTTCAGACTCACCAATAAGACAGGTACTTAAGACCATTGACTTTTCTACGTTATGATTTTATAATCTTACACCAAATTACTGTTTTTGCAGTTATTTTAACTGTGTATTGCTAAATAAAAGCAGCTAAATCTATATACGTGTCCTAATAAATATAGCACCGGCATGGAAACAGACAGATGAAGTGAACTGACATATTCTGTAACTGTCATAACTGCCAAAATTGTCCATCTCCTGCCAATTAAGACTCCACACTGTCTTCCTCCACAGCCTCGCCGTCCATCAAGCTGCTGGTTGAGGATCCTATCATCGTTAATCCTGGCCAAACGGTGTCCTTGGTGTGCATCACCACAGGTGGAGAGCCGCCCCCCATTCTCGCCTGGATCAGCAGTAATGACAGCCTGCCACAAAGGAGCGTGGTGAAGGGGGGCACGCTCACCCTTCCAGCCATCAGCTCAGATGAGTCGGGGGTCTACAGCTGCGTTGCCAGCAACAACGTGGGAAACCCGGCCAAGAAGTCCACCACCATTGTGGTGCGAGGTGAGGAGTCCAAAAACCTTCAGTATGACATGAATACAGAATTCAAGGATAAATTATTGGCATTATGCAACAAAGGGTTGCAGTATGAAATGCAGTTGTAGCCTATTTGCTACACAAAGAAAGCAAAAACAGTAGAGCATTCTGTCGTGTATGACTGGGCACGATATTATTTCTTGTTTACTGTTTTACTTTTGATTAATAATTTAGTTAAAGTTTGCTTGTATGGCTTTATAATTAATGTATTCACAGAGTTGCTGAGTGTCCTTCAGATTGTGCTCTTACAGTTTGACCTTACAAAACACGCAGAGCATCAGATCTCACTGTTGGTTCTGCTCCGGCTACTTGAAGACCACCAAGGATAAAAGCTGGAGGCAAAATAGTGTGGAACCATTCATTAAAAAACACGGATTCAAAGAGTGGTTTACACAAATTTAACAAGGGCAGCGGGACGAGGGTCCATTGCTGCCTGTTTGCTCGTTAACAGGGTAGTATACAGCTGTAGCTCGTTACAGAAATGACCGTTATCAAAGTCCCTTTTTCCTGCATGTTGTCACATTGACTGCTCCCTGTCAACACGGATACGCAGACGGTGAATCGTGCTTTTAGTTGTCAACAGACACATTTCATGTACAGTAATGCTAAAACAACACTGAAGGTTAATACTCAAGACAGGATATTTTACCACCTGTAAAGAAAAGGCGTTTTGATATAAAACACGCACAGATGCGACATGACGCATGAGGAAATTAACTTTCTTAAATTGACTGCTGTTACTAAGCTGGAGGATTAAGGGTGGTGTGTGACTAGGCTTTCATCTGTGACATAACAGAGGATCCCAACGCCCTGAATGTGAAACTGCAGGAACCTCTTGCAGGTGAATAAAAAGATGTATTAATTAGTGAAAGCCTCACAAGCAATACAGCATTCAGGGGATGATCCAAAAGTGAATTTTAACTTTCAAGAGAACATCCCACACACACACACACACACACACACACACACGAATGGAATCACATATCAGAGTTTAGCAGATTGGCTCAAAAAGTTTCTCACGGAGTTTCTCTCCTTTCATCTAAGAGATTAAGCCACAGCTCCATCATCAGGTCGCTTCTGTGCTCAACCCGTTTGGAAGCATTTATTTATGCAGCCATATATTCCCTGGGATGAAAATCAAATCATCGACAAATCACTCCTGATGGCCCCCTCCTGACAGATAAAACCCAGTCTCTGCATTGTGAAAGTGCCCATATAGTTGAGGACTTAGGAATTGAGAGGTTTACATCAAAGAGAAGGTGTCAGGTGTCACACGGCAGCAAATAAGTCAGAGCACACTCACCGCGGGCAATTGCTGCAATAAATATCACTCTCTCATTGATGTGTCAGACATCTGGAGATGACAATGGTTCTCATGTGGGATCTTGATCAAATATCATTAAAAGTAAACACCCAACCTTCCTTAAATATAGATGATGTTTGCATCCACACTCATTGATCACATTTAAGGCTGCAGAGCAAAGTCTGTACTTGTTAAAAGTTAAACAGGACAAATATGCATTATTCTGCTTGACTGAATGTTTTGCAGCTACAGATGTTTTCATGCAGTGCCAGGCTTTATGAATCATCAATCCAGATGCAAAAGTGTGATCATTAGCTCTTTAAAACAATCACACGTATAATGATGTATATGTTGGGTTACGTTTCTGATTCATAACCTTCATGCAAAAGTCAGACATTGATGAACACCCATTGTGGAGACATTGACCAGTATATTCTCCTAAAGCCTAAAAGCCCTCACCAACATGTGTGCGACTCAATCATTTACTGCAGATGTTTAAACAAAAGGCAATCAGACGGGAGGAGACTAAATAGATTAAAAACTGACACAAAATTCTGTCCAGAGTAAATCAATTTGGAGTGAAAACTAACAAAGCCAAAGAAATCTCGGCAGTCTAAAACTAAACGGAGAGATGCTTAAATGACACAACGAATCGATACGTGACAAAGCAAATTAAGGATCAATAAAAGAAGAAAATAAATTTGGAACAGTCTCTCTTGTCAGTGCAGTTGTGGGATCAATAGTTATAGAACTCCAGAGTGAGGGGATGCTGTATGAATGAACACAAAATCTCTGTCCTGAGTCTGACCAACCATCACTGAGAGCACGATTTGGATCAGCATACTGAAATGACACGTCATTTAGATACATTGATTATCAAAATGATTTAGAAAGACAAAGACACACCTAAAGGACAAGACCATTTGAGGGAGACACTCTGAAGTCCAACAAAGCATCACATGTCAAAATGAATTTTGAACCAAGCTGAATAAGCTCGAACAGACAAAAGCAGTACTGATTTAATGCTATTTCTGGGACAGACTGATGAACTATGAGAAACAGTCAGGATCGATGTCACATATCTCTCTGAGGCGTCAGGATCGGTCTCCTGAGTCTGACGAGCTGTCGCTGACGCAAATGCAATTTTAGGATCAACATGCACCAGATGACGAAGGGTGCGACGGTATATTAATAGACTACATTGTCTGTAGAAATATATCATAGATTTGATTTGTTTCTTAATAACATACAACCAGTTCAGCAGTGAAACAATGGAGACACACAGCTCTCCGTACCAGACATACTCATGGTGAAAAACAAAAACAGTTTGTGCAATGTGTCATACTTTCTCACTGCTGTTACTGAGTGCATGAAAACAAGCTTGCAGCATCTATTTGATATTCAAGAGTTGAATTTGAATATACGAATCTTCCAATATTATTTTCTTGTAAATAATGAATAAATGAACAAACATATGAAACATTTTTTAAAAGCTACTATGAGGAACTGCCCCGCTTAGTCCTGGTCCTGGTTCTCCTGTGTCTCTCCTTCTCGCTAATGGTCTTGTTTACTTATGTAGGTCATATAGAGGCATCTGTATTAAATTGAGACTGTTTTACAACCAGTTTGAAGTTGCTTTGAGGAACTTTAAACTACCTCAGAGTTTTTTATTCATTTTTTTTAGGAAGACAAACTTTATTGATCCCTGAGGAGAAATTACGGTTTTTTACTCTGTTGTTATTTTTACACATTACACACACACAGGCCGTAAATACACACACATGCACAAACAGGACCTACTTATGCATTAATGGAGAGATTCTCCACTCTATGCTCGGTACTTTGACCATGTGGGGGACTTGAACATGCGCCCCTCCGGTTCTAAAGCCAAGTCGCCACAGACTGAGCACCTACAACAGCGATAAGTACTAAGTTAGACATTTTACAGTTGAAGAATTAACTTGTCAGTCCTCTTTAGTTGACAGACTATGTACCCCAAACTTATCCTTGCCATTTCTTTACTGGAAATTGTTGTTACTTATCAGCTGACATCCACGGTCGTACAAATATACCCGTAATAAGCTCATATCAGCCGATATATCACCGCGGGTGACAATAGTAGTGGACTTTGGTGAGTTAACACCGGTGCAGACAGTTTTACAGACCACTTCCTGTCCCCATTAACTGGTTGACATGGCCCTTAAAATGACAAAGGCGACCAGTGAGAACACAAATGTAGGCGAAGTGGAAAAGGGTGAAGTTGTAGTGCCAAGAATGAGTTTGATCCTGTCTACTTTTCTTTACCCACCTTCCTCTTAGCATGCAAATCAATCATGCATGATTGAAATTAGACAGGAAACACTTTGAAATAACCACCATGACTGTAATCGTGGCACAATTGACTGTACTCTATTTCCCCCCTAATGCCATTCTATTGTGACTAAATGAATTCTAACTGGGTAGTAATTAAGAAATGATATCGTGCTTTGTTCTCTAAATCTCCAAAGTTGCTTCTTCTCGATGTTGGCTAATTTTTAAATGGAAATCGTGGTCATATTTGCACGTGTAAATTGTGTATTCTTTTAATTGTGTTCGACAAGACATTCGGTACAGTCGCTCCACTGGCAAATTGTTACTGTCGTGATACTTTGAAGTGAGGAGAAAAGGAAAATTGAAAGAGGATAAGCCAGGCTCGAGGCTAGAGCGCAGGCAGACCTTTAGTTGCTCTTTGTTTGTGTATGAATGTGTGTATGTGCAGAAAAGAGAGGCAACAGAAAAAGACTGCTGTCTGTGTGCTTATAAAACATTTTCTTCAGAAAATCCCGACTGTAGGCTACAAAACCAGGAGAAATAATTGCTCTGCTAATTGCTTAAGTATGTATGTGTGTGTGGCCATGAACAGCTGAAATGTTTGGAATTGCAAGCACATGGGAAGAATTGCTGCATCCGTCTGTGCATGTGTGAATATGTTTTGATATTCATGTTCTACATGGCTACATAAAATACCAATTTATTCGGTTTTTCTACACTGAATGCGTGTTTTGCAGGGTCATCCTGTGGCCTCATTGTTGCATAGCTTGTTCACGGTCCTCTCCAGTCCTTGAGAAGCCCTCTCAAACTGCTGTTGCCAAAGGGGGCTGTGTGTGTGTGAAAACACACATCTCTCCCCAGCAGATGGTAGTTTCTCTGGCCATACTGTCCCACCAGCCAGACTGCCTTCCAGGGCTTCGCCATCTCCACAGCCTGCCCAGCAGGCTACTGGCATCACATCACCCTGCTGACAAGATCCTTTTTATGGATTAAGGGTCCGCAACACGTCTTCAAATGCAGGTCAATACTCTGCCTTCCCCGGGCCACTTCAGTCCACTCCTGTCCTCCACACACACACCAGTTTGTGATATATCCGTTGCGACAATGCAAAGATACTCTGCGCTGGTTGTTTCTTCCTTTCCTCTGTTGCTCAAATATGAGTCGGCAGCTCTCGCTTGGAGAGTTGGTGAATCGAGACAGGACTGTCTGTAGATGGTGTTGTTGAAATGGGCAGCTGGCCTCGCATTTTGTTTTCATGTCTCCCTGCACACAGACGGCGACTCGGTGCATGTGTTTCCCGTCTTTTCGCTAAGCAATGTGTTTCCCCATCTTTGTGATGTAGAGAAATGAGCAT